TGGGGCCGGGACAGCCACGGGGGAATGGGGCCGGGCAGCCACGGGAATGGGGCCGGACAGCCACGGGAGAGCGCGGTACCGCGGACGAGGGATCGCACCATCCCCATCCCGAGTGCAGCTCTGTCCCGAGGACCTGGTCCGCGGAACCCAGAGTTCTGCCAGCAGCAGCCACCATCACCGGCCGCACACGCACCGGGCCGGGAGCACCTCCGAGCATCCCCCCTCTGGAGTCCACGCATGCCTGTCCCGGGGCTCTCTGTCCCTGCTCCAACCACCGTGACCGGGATAAACGGGGCGCTGAGTGCCGGGAGCACCGAGATGTCCCCGGTTCGTGCGGGCAGCTCTGCAGCTCCCGGCCCGGGGGACAGCGCTGCGGAGCTGGGGCGCAGCGTGTCCTCTGCGGAGTGGGAGCCACGGGTGCCCCTTCCTGTGACACGTGGGGGTGAAGAGGGGGCCTGATGGGGCTGTCCCTTGTCCCCAGAGGAGCAGCAGCGCTGCGATGCTCTGCAGCCTCCCGCATGCTCCAGAGACTTTTCACTCACGGGCAGCCGGTTCCAAACCAAGCCCCAGGGACGGCTCCGTGCAGTCACACCTCAGGTAACAAGTGGTTCCCTCTCCCAGGGGAAACACAACCTGCATTACTCATTTCTCTCATCTTTCATGGTCTCCAGCGAGCACGGTCCTTTCCTRTCGTGCTTCTCTCCCAGCTAACCCAGTCCAGCTCTGGCCATCCAGTGGCTGGCACAGGACAGTGCTCTTCAGGAGAGCGGGGTGAGAGAGAAGCCCGTCCCCAGCTGCCGCAGCTCCCACCCGGCTGTGCAAAGCCCTCCCTGCGCGGGTTGGGGGCTCTCATTCACATAACCAGCTGAGCACCTGCACCTCAGCACAACCCAGGAACGGCGAAAAAGCAGCGGCGCGGTGTGCGTGCCACCCCCAGACAGAAGCGCCCTCCAGCACAGGGAGCACAGCGTGTACATCCCCAGCGCTGTCTGGGGCTACCCGTGGTCCCGAATGACTGACACSGCTTCCCTTGGCAGTGCCCGAGCGGCGTTCGGAGCTGGGAATGCCACGGTCCTTGCTAGCGTCGTGGCTGCAGCACTTTCTGCTCGTGGTATAAACCCAGCAAGCATCTTCCTCAAGGATAACTTGTCTCCCTGAGAGAGATGTTTCCTCTCCAGGTTAAAGCCTGAGATTTTTCCACATTCAGCTATCACGACCCTCGGTCATCACCAGTGTGATGCCACTGAGACCACCTCGAGGGCTACAAATAATCGCGCCAGTCCCTGTCAATTAACCCTTTGGGATATTAACGTCAGAAGAGGCATGAAACATTCACGTAACCAAGCATTTTAAAATAAAATAAATACGTAAATAATCAAAACACAGCACTTACCACCCCCCGACCTCTCACAAGACTTTAATATTCATTTTTAAAAGGCAAATTGGACGCTGCTGGTGGCCAGCACAACCCAAACCCCCCCAAAGCCCTGAGTTATTGCAGCTATTGAAATGTTTGACAGAAGGATCCCAGAGCAGTTTGCACTAATTGCTGTGTAAAAATACYCCATTATGTGCTCAGACAATCAAAATCGACCCAGCAAATCAGCTCCCCTGGTCCGCGGCAATCACGGAGCAAAGCAGAACATCGCAGTGTAAACAGCGCTTGCGGAGGGGCGCGGGAGGAGGGGGGCTTGGCAGGTCCTGCCCGAAGAGCTGCCTCTTTTTGTTGTTATTTTGCTCGGTTTCTAATTTCCACAGGAAATTTAATTTCGGGAATATGTGGCACGAACTTCCAAGCCGGAGAGGAAAGCCGCGGCTGTTGGAGGGGTCCGGGGAAAGCATTGCAAAAGCAGCAGCGAGGGCTGTACTTACAGGTAAGCGGTGAGCGGGCTCAGGTTGGCGGGTACCTCCGACAGCCCCAGCTCGGAGCAATCCACCGAGAGCACGATGCCATCCTGTTCGCAGTGGCACTGCGGCGGGCAGGAGGGCGCAGCACCTGGCTCGGCAGGCACAGCYTGGCAGCGGGCGGAGGACGCCAGCAGAATGCCCCACAAGAGGAGCTCGTCCATCCTCGGCCGGGCTGCGGGGCCGCCGCCTGGCACGCTGCGGGCACGGGATCTCCGGCGGGTCCCGGGGTGCTGGGGATGCAGCCAGGCAAGGGAAGGCATTGCTGAATGATCTTGGTTATTGGGTTTCGAGGGCTGGGCAGGGGCGTGAGGCGCTCCGATGGGAGGAGTTAAACTTTCTACTCTTTCCTTCTCTCTCTCTCTCTCTCTCTCTCTCTCTTAGAGCTGGCAGGAATTTCATTCAAAGGGAAGAAAGGGGGGGAAAAAAACACAAAAGAAACCTCAACAAATAAAGACCTGTTCATAGCTCCGGGACCCAGGCTTGTTTTGTAATCATGTTTTTGTGAGATAGCAGGRCAGGGGAAGGCAGAGCTGGCTCCGACGAGGCAGAGGAGTGTAAGGAGGGAGGCAGGAGTACCCAACCGGCACTTCAAGGGCTCCAGACTTTGGGACGCTGAAATATAACTCCAGATAAAGGACTCTGTGTCTGTGCCGGCTGCTAAACTGAGCTGGGACTGGAAAGTCAGGGTGCAGCTGGGGAGAAGGAACTGAGGAGCTCAGGACYAGCTCTTTGCTGGGAGTGACCATCCCAAAGCTGTCTGTCTGTCTCTCTGTCTGTCTGTCCTGAGCTCCAGCCCTCCCTGTCCAGCAGCCCCGTTGGTGTCCCCTGGCACCAGGCAGGGCTGGGGGGACATGCAGGGGGATGTAGCAGCAGGGTCACGGTTCCAGGCTCCGTGGTGCTCCTGGTACAGCTCTGCCCAGGTCAAGGGCACKTGTGAGCTGCGTTTGCAGGAGCTGCCCAGCACTGATGCCCAGAGCAGGGRGCTGGGCTGCCCCAAGAGCTCTTCCTAACCCTGGGCAAAGTGGCCAAAGTTGAGGAACAGTCCACTGAGAGGGGTCCTGAAGCCACATCATCTGGACCCRTGTCACGGTCTGGCTCAGCAGAGGGCACTGCCTCGGCCAGTCCAGCCAGGATTTCACAGAATTCTGAAACACGTGGGATGTGCATCGAAACAGGATTCTGTACTACCAAGAAGCTGCTGACTTCTGGGACAGCAGGACCAGCTTAGCAAAGGGTGCTGGACCTGCAGTGGGAGGAAATTGCAAGGGATAGCTCTGTGTCCTCTCTGGTGACGGCCACTGGCTGCTCAGTGTCACTGGGACACCCTCACAGGGGGTGATTGCTGCCATCCCATGGCGGTGGGTTGAGGGATGGGGTGAGTCTGGCCCCACAGTTTGAGGGACACTGAGTGTCTCTCTACAGGGCCCAGCATCTGGTCTGTAACAGGGGCAGCAGCTGAACATGGCTCTCACCCTGCAGACAGGCAGACAGACAGACAGACAGCTGTCCGTGAGGCTTCAGAGGGATCTGGAGTCCTGCTGTGTTCCTCTCTCTGCCTCCCCCACAGCCACCAGTGCAGGAGGTGAATGAGGCAGGGAAAGAAGGGCCCATTTTTGGGGGGGCTGCAAAGGGCACCCACAAAGCCACCCCTCCCAGTGTCACCATGGTAAAGTGCCACATGGCCAAAGCACAGACTGGGAGATGTTTTCACAGCTTTGCTTCCTCTGAATGGACCTTTCCTTCTGGCAGAGGAGTTTCCTGATTGATATCCCTGTTATCACAGGATGAAAGAGGTGGAAGGRTTATCTGGGTTCAGGAAGGTGAACCAGCTCAGTGGGAGACTTAAACAGCTCCAGCTCACCTGGGGCTGGGGTCCCTTGAGGTCTGTGAGTCAGAGTAGGCATCTCCTCCCCCAGAAAAGTGCTCAGGATGGAGTTCAGGGTTCGTGGCTGATGCACAGACTCTGACTGAGGGCTCCAGCTGGGCTGATACTGGATCTGAAACTATTCCACTGCAAAGTGCATTCAGATGCTGCCATTTCAGGACTGYCTGTGAGTGCTGCAGTCAGTCACTGGAAAGATCATCCCCGAGTGCAAAGGAGTGAGAGGATTCTGGTCTAGGAGCAGGAAATAATTATTAATAATTAGTACTTATAATTAATTGAGATTAAGCCCCTTCCACCATGAACAGTGCTGGAGATGTCATTATTTAAACATTTCCAATGTCTTTTGACTGCTCCAAATGTAAAGCGCTGCTTGGTGGGGGGACAGGGAGCCCTCCTCACAGAGATGGGTGCTCAACATGCTCCCTGGGGCTCCTCAGCACCCTCCTCTCCAGCTCAGACATGGGACATTGGCAGGGCCTGAAAAGGCTGGAGATGCTCTGGCAGCAGCGAGGAATCCGAAATCAGTCTGGAGAAGGTTTCAGGCTGTCCCTCCTGGCTGCAGCAGCAGCAGCAGCAGCAGCTCCTCCTGTGACCCCGCTCCTCTCCCTCCAGCCTCAGAAGCAGCACCAACCACATCAGCACCTCCCGGCAATCTCCCGCTCAGTAAATCATCCTCAGGGATGCAGGGCTCTGGCTGATCACACTATCAACACARTTCTTGCAAAAAATCACACTGGAGGGGTTCCTTTTGAAAGCTACCATTCAGCTGAAGAAGAGACATTTCCTCAGGAAGGCACTGACTGAAATTTTCACCTCGATTTTGGAGCAGCGTGTCCTAATGTTGGAGAGCTTTTCTCCACGTGCCTCACTTTGCTTTGACTTTTCTGTTTGCTTCT